CTCTTGATGGTGAGATTAGGAAATGTTGGTGAAAACCTTTCTTCAGGCCTGAGCTTTAACTCAGCAGAAACTCTGCAGCCACTGTCTGTAACACCTTGAACTCTGCTCCTGCAGGACCACCGAGCAGCAGCAGCGTTTCCACGAGATCTGTGGGAACCTGGTGAAGACTGAGCGCCGCATCGTGGGCTGGTGGAAGCGCCTCTGCACCCTCAAGGAGGAAAAACCCAAAATGGTACGCTCAGAGCTTTCACTTTGATCCCAACCCCTCCAAAACCAGCATTTTTAAGACATAAATTCCCAATCCTGCATCTGATGTTGCAACTAAACACCTCACTATAGTAGTTGCAGTGTAATCGGCTGCCTCTTGCTGGTCTCAGCCATGCTGTGTGTTTGTAGTTGGAAGCTTTTGACCGTGTTGCAGTCGGTGAAGAAGAGGCACTAAACTTCCCACAATGTTCCCAGGCTCCAAAATGAATCACATTTGCACAAAGTTCTGATAAGCTGATCTTTGTAGGCTAGCTTAGCGTGCACAGTGAAGGGGCTGTATCTGATTGGCTGCTGAAGGCAAGCGTTTAGTCCCAAAAACAGTCTGACCTTTGCTTTTGGTCTGAGCAGAGTTAAAGTCTAACTTGCCCTGAGCTACAGGGAACCTGAATGAATCAAATAAGCTGCAGTAAATGGAAGTTTTATTACAACAGGGAGCTCTCTCTGTGCTCCAGATAAAAATATCAGCTGATCTGACTTTGCTGCTCCACTTAGCAGACCTCAAACTGGGTCATGGGCAGCCAGAACAGAGTTTTTCACAGCCTGTGTGACTCGTTCTCATTCAGTGGCCATTCTGACTCTTCTTTCTGAATGATGACTTGCTAATGAAATTGAGCTGAATGTAACCTGACCTCCTGATCTCCACAGTACTTTGCCTCAGTGATCAGCAGCCTGCTGGCTGTGGCCTGGATCGGACAGCAGGTGCACAACCTGTTCCTGACGTACCTGATCGGTGAGTATACTTTCACTTGACTACAAAAAGACTGTTTTGTTTATCGCCACTGTTATCAGCCATGTTTCACTCATATCTTTGTGGGTTTCTTTCCTGCACTCTCCCCTGCTGGCTGCTGTCCAATCACACGCTCCTTCATGTCTCAAATTGTTGAGCTGTCAAGTCACTTTTAATAATATTATTAGGCAAACATCTGGTGAGCGGTTCAGACCCGGTGTGACTACCAAAGGTAAAGCACTCGTACCTCGTGTGCCGTCAGGTTTGGGCTTTGTATCAGTAATCGGGTCTCACTGTAAACACGCTTCAATACCACTCTGACATAAAACGACACAAGTCTTACTCTAATGCCAGATTTTATTTTAAATGTGCTCTTCAGTTTGTTGTTGTGCATTAGATGTTTTTGCACAAACTCCACATCAGGTCAAAAACAAACTCCGATGTGGCTTCAGGGGTTTGTGATAGAGACGATGTAGGAGAGCAAGCTGAGGGCGAGCCGTGTTCCCGGCTTCCAGGTGAAACTCCGGCGCTCAGCTGCAGACCTGTTTGGATGATGCCAGCAACCTTTAAAGAAGGTGTTACACTCCTTTTAGAGAGAGAGAAACAAGAGCTTGCTGCTCATCCCACACTGCCCGTTTCTTTCTTTTTCTGTCCTGGGCTGATTTTCTTTCTTTTTTCAGTTCTTCTGTGGGGGGGGGACCCGGACAGTTAATACTGTGAGACTTGTTCACCTCTTGGTTTGGCTTCCTCTGCTCTGTCGCTCCAGAACACAATGATTTATGTCCTTAAACCTCTGTGTAATCCTTCACACACAGGCTGAAGTGGACATAGTCTTTGACATTTTGCTGAAGGCGTGCCTGCAGACCCCGCCCACCTTCATTCTGTTTTAAGAGATTTCGGTTTTAATGAAAGGCCCGAGGCTCGCAGAGTGTCGGGATTAAAATGAGAAACCTTAAATGCTCGTCTCTGCTCTCGGGTCCTTCTTTAAAACTGCTTTCGCTGAATGTGGAAGTTGAGCCTTTCGTGCATTTTCTGCGGACAGAAACTCGTACGTGACTGAAGAGGAAGGGGCACTCGTGTTCATCAGCAGTTTTAAATGCTTCTGTGTTCAAGTTAATTTAATGGCCGATGGTGCTTTAGACTGATATTTATCTTTGATATTTGGCAGGTTTTTGCATGTTTGAAGCTCTGCATGTGGCTCTGAGTGGATCAGGGGTATTCATTATTAATGGGGCTGATTGTGGAAGTCTTTACAGAAACGTGCAGTAAAACCTGAAACCATGTCTCACCGCTGCAGAGGGCGAACACGTCTTAAAGCTGCCGGGGGGGGGGTTAGATCAGCAGGTCTGGCGAGCTGTGAGTGGGCTAATCCCCACTTACATAAGCTGAGACATGTCGAGTGTTCCTCTGACAGAAACAGAGCAGAAAGGCAATCAGAGGTCATGTGACTGTGGGTTTTAATCTGGTTGCTCTTCAGGCTCGTCTGGTTAAGCAGCTGCTTTCATGTGAAGACTTCATCTGCCAGCATCGGGTGGAGTACAAGCAGCGGGTGGAGTACAAGCAGTGGCTCCTCACAGTCTTTCTTAAATCAGTGGCTAATGTTCCTCGGGCTGTGCGGTGTCAGTGAGTCACTGCTCAGAGAGCTGAGTGAAAGCTGTGAACAAGTCACTGATTGTTCTGACATGAACACGGGGAGTGATGCCAAGTGAGCCGTGAAAACCAACGCAGGTTTTCAGCCGATGCTGGCTTTGAAGGGAAACGCTGATCTGACAGAGTGAAAGTATTTTTCATATCGGTCAGTCTTGCAGAATACAGCAGAACCTGAAACCATCGACACGCCGTCACTTTATCCCTGCTGTGATTGGTGGTTGGAAAGCTCGATGCAGCCACACTGAAGTCGTCCATCGGTCTGTCCATTCAAAGCGATCCTGGTGGGTTGAAACCGGACGCGTGTGCCGCCTGATCATCCCGGATAATCCTCTCTGGTCATTAGACTGAGCGTGTGCAAAATTAACCGTTTCATTAATTTGACCTCGCAACCATGAGGTGTTCTTTCTCTACTCGATCACAGGCGCTGCCCCCTGGTGGCAGCATAAGAGCAGTTTTATTTTTTATTTGTTAGTTTAAATTCTGTTTCAAAATAAGAGCCTGCAGGTGTTTCACTATGATAGATTATTGGCAAGTAAGAAAATTAAAGCCACTTTCACCTTTGACCTTCAGTTTTGTGACAGTCAGGTTTGGATGATTTCATTTTTCTCACAGGAGCAAACTGTGGTTTCAGACACACAGGCAGCGTGTCAAAGTTCATCAGGTGCTGTCTGTAAACGTTTCAGCGCTCAAAGCGTCCGATTTAAAATCTTTGCACACTTTTTTGTTCTTCTCGTTGCAGTGAGCTTCCTGCTGCTGCTGCCCGGCCTGAACCAGCACGGCATCATCACGAAGTACGCCGGCATGGCCAAGAGGGAGATCAACAAACTGATGAAGCAGAAGGAGAAGAAGAACGAGTAGATGAGCGTTCGCTGTGAAGAGGGGAATCTCTGCAAGACGAGAAAACGCAACAGGACGATGGGAAAGTGGAGGAAAGTGAAGAAAAAGGAGCAGGGGAGTTTAAAAAGTCCTCCTGCTGCCCGGGTCTCTGCACTTTGTTTTGATTTTCACACAGTTTCATTTCTCACACACACATTTAAACCTCATCACACACAAGGTTTTATTTTGCTTTTGAATTAACCTGCCATGCATGCTGCCACCAAATGAAGGTGATCACACGTGGAAATGTCCCAGTCAAACATCATCCTTCTGTTTCTTAGATCAGCTGTGCTTCGCTTGAAGGCGTCGATGCTTTCAAAGCCGTTCCCTCTACTTAGACTACTGAGCAGTTTGTGTAGCATTGCTGCCTCATTTTAACCTCTCAGACAGCAATGATTATTTTTTTGGGGGGGGGGGAATTAACAGCAGGTCTTTTTACGTTTTTGTGCTTCTTCTGCTTCACTTGTGTTTGAATTTAGTGCTGAAAACAAAACTGGATTTGAAGCGGAGCTGAAACTGTTCGTAGAGACAGGCCTACTGCTGTACCGCTGCTAGCTGGACTCTGTTAGTGCTGGGATGAAACCCCACAGTGCGTCGGTGACGTGGGGCGTCTCTGTAAATAGGCCCCACCCTTTCTTCTCTGTCCCCGTCTGTCCTTTTCTTGTTATTTATGTGTTCGTTTCTCCTCAGTCTTCTTATTTCTGGTATTTCAACTCATTTCATTATTTGTGTTTATTGGAGATCTTTACACACGAATAAAGTGATTTAAATGAGGTTGTTTCTTGGTCTTCATGTGTGTGAGCCCTGCCCTCCTTCCAGACCTGCACTGTCCTGACCGTTGGCAGCACACCTGCGCCGTGTATTCTCTCAGGACCAAACACCTCACAGCTCCACAGTGATCCGACCCACTGATCATTGGCACGTTATTGGACCACAGTGGGAGTACAGGATTGAATATTTCTCTCAGATTTGAAGCTTTTATTGTTGGTTAAACTGGGTGGGGGGCTTTCATTAGTGGCTTAGGACCCTAGAATTTTGGGTCCAGTAGTGATATTTGGATGAGAGGGTGATAGCATTAGCTGATAACTTAGCAATCACCACACACTGTATGCTTGTATCACACAGACCTGCTGATTAGTAACAGCCAGAATTTCACCAATATTTCTTGCCGTGTCTGTTAGTACCTCACAGCAGCCATGTCATTGGTCAGATGATGCTATAAAAATGCTAGCAGCTACAGCCACCTGTGTCTCACCTGTCCGGCTGTAAACGTGTTTATTTATGCTGTAAAGCTGGCGGTCGACTCCCTGCTGGAGCCTCTCGTGGGCTTTGGATTTTAATATTTCTGTGTTTTCCTGCCCATCTGAGCCCCTTCAGTTAAAGTTCACTTATTGTTTCTGTTCACTGAGTCCTGGAGGAGAAATGCTGTTCCTGCATCATATAGGAATGCTCTGAGAAGCATCTGCAGACCACAGAGTCCTGACAGGGTTTGCACATTTAATGGAGGTTTGCTGTGGCGTTACTTCCTATCAGTAGAGTCTGAACGCAGTACAGTCCGTCTCCCAGCGTCTGGTCGCCCACAGCTGCTGATCTCTGGACCGTCTGCTGGACTTCCCCGGCTCAAACACCTGCGTCGGTTCACCTGCAGACAGGGAACAAATGTCCAAACAGCAAAGCTAACTGAAAATCAGTTTATTCCTCTGTGGAATACTTTGAAAGTGTATGCACAGTTATTACTGGTAGTTTTTATTAAGTTGCACACAGCAGAGATTAATTATCCTGATATTCTGTTTTTGCTGCATTTTTCTGTACAAAGCAGGATTGCTAAAACAGTTTGCCTGTTAAGAAACGATACGATTTTTATGGCGTTACTGTGGCTGAGCGCGCCGCTCAAAGACAGCGCTGCGCGGTCCGTTATTACTGTGACCACAAGGACACAAGCTGTGAGCGTTACCTGTCAGGATGTCGTGTCGGTGCCGCTGTGTCTGTCTGCCGCTGGCCTGCAGTGACAAGCCGTCGAACTCCGGGGTCGGGTGCTCCGTCCTGTAGGTGCTCTGGCACTCGGGTGGATGATGCTGATGCTGACTGATGAGCTCTCTGATGGCGCGGCTGCTGTTGTACCGAGTCCAGTTTTCCAACTTTGGGTCGACTCTCTGGAGAGAAGCAGAAGCTGGTTCTGTCCTTAATATATAGTCATAATATTTCATGACAGCCAGTAGCTTTACTTTAATTCATGTATAAGTTATTTTAAAATTTAGATAAGTCTAAAATAAAAAGTTGAAATTAAAGAAAAGTCTCCCAAACATAATTTTAATTATAAGTGAGGGAAGATTTGGCATTAACTGATTTCTTCCCCTAATAAAATATGCTTCTAATGCAGGTAAACGATTCAGGGTCCAGGCAGATCATCATGTGGTCATGTGACAACTTACTGAGATAAAAGCTGGGATGAAAAAACTGTGACTACAGAAAGACAACAGATCGAAACAACTCTGACCTCTTAACTGCATCAACACAAAGAAATAAAGCATGTTAATATTTCCTCATTCATGCAGGCACAAAAGAAGAGTTCTAGAAATATGATGGAAGTAAAAATGTAAGTAGATAAAAGACTTAAAATACAGAGTCTGTCTTTAACCATCTGAAAGACGGTTTTCCGCCTCACCGGAGTCACGTGCTGGGGCGCGTACACCTCTTTGCTGTGTGACTGCAGCACACTCTGCGGCGGCATGTTGTTGTCACGGAGATCCAGCTGGCTGCGGTGCTGGGAGGGGAAGCTGGGGTCTCTGAGGCGGAAGACGAGAGGACGTCCATCGGCCGACCTGCCGGAATAACTCTGACCAGGAGAAGAGGAGAGGGAAGGGCTAGAACCGTACCCGAGAGCTGGATTTGTAGGACGTTTAAACGTATACATTACTGACATGTAAAATAAAACCATTAGAACCTGTATTCTATTTTTAGTGAAAACATAAACTCTAAGAAGGTAGAGATTGACTAATCAGATGTGAACTGTAGAGACTGTGGATGCGTGATGATCCACACGAACAGCGACTGCACGGAGGAGACCTGGGTGTGGGTGGTGGTGTAGCAGGGCGGCGTGTCGCCCAGGCTCAGGGTGCTCTGATGCATGGGTCTCGGTCTAAAGCGCTGAGGTTGATGTTGGCAGCGAGGACCACAGCGGGCTGAAGCCGGGCTGAAGCCGTCCATCGTCTCGTCCTGTGCCTCGGTCACAGTGCAGTCAGACCTCTGCAGCTCTGTCAGGCTCAGGTGTAACTGCAGCTTTTCACTGTGTTTGTACAGAAATCAAAGGACCTGCTTCTTTGAGCATGAACAACACTTCACCGTTAACACTTAAAATGTCATTCGTCTACATTTAGAATAACAAAAGATAAACATAATCTTACAGGTACAAACCAATCGTCTAATCACAATCGCAACAATTCACACACCCTGCCACTCTGTTAGGTACACCTGTTCAACTGCTCAGTGACAAATGTCAGTCAAACACATGGCATCAGCGTGTGTGTGTGTGTGTGTGTGTGTGTGTGTGTGTGTGTGTGTGTGTGTGTGTGTGTGTGTGAGAATGCTGTTTTTCTTTTACGTGCACACTTAACCACCTTTTTATTAAAAAGTCAAACTTAACAGGCCCAAAAAGACAGAAAGATGCTTCATCCAGAACCAGGAAACAAAAGGTAAAATATCCAAAAGTAAAACAGTAAAAACTGGAAAGAATAAAAGACTTAGGGAGAGGGAACAGTGAAAACAGACAGGAGAGAAGGGAGGAATATACGAGGAAACGATAACGTAGACCTGAAACACATCTCTGGAAAGATCACACAGTAAAAACAGGAAGCAAAGATGGCGTCACAAGAACTAAGAAACAAGAATCGAAAACTAGGAAACACCAGTGACTCAAGTCCAAGTTCCCAGACCGCTGAAAGGGACACGACCATGGCAACCCCTGCAGACAAACTGCCTGTTTCTTCCTGTTGACAGTGAACATGTAGTAAAATCACAGATGTGGTGACCTCAGCACAGTCACCACACAGGACGCTCTCATATACAGAAAGCTGACAGAGATGTGTTCGATCATTACAGCAGGAATCACGCTCTGTAGCGACTTACCTGTGATAATGAAGCTGTTTCTGTGGAAACATGTTGCCACGGTGATGAAAACAGACGGGTTTACTTTGACATTTTCTCTCTGGAAAGTGATCCTGCTTTATCATGTGCAGACCTGCCTTTTACTCCTGGACTGTTAGATGGAAAATAAAAATAATTAATTTACTGTATCTTCAGAATAAAACATTTCTGATGAAACTGAATGCATTTATTTGCTCTCACAGGTCTCCCGCTATCCAAATGAAGGCACTTGTTCCTTTGTCCATGCATGTTCAATGCAGTGATGGCCACTTTTATGGATTCTCCTTCAGCAGTGAGATCTAAAGGACAGAGAAACACCCCCCGAAATGTGACCAGGTTTTCTCTGGAATAATCTGCCCTCACACATAAAATCCAGTGTTTACAAATTTAAATCAGCTCTAAATTATATGGAATCTATCTTATCTTATCAAGTCCACAGTGTGTGTTTTCTGACTGGACTGACACCTAAATAGATTCCCAATTTATGGCTTTTGACCCCCAGAAAGATTTTGATCTCTGACCTTCAGGACAAGACCCCATGGTGGATGGGTGGAAATGACTTATAGAGCATTTTAGAATTATGATTGCTACTCAAACTAGGTTTGTCATAACTATTATTACCGTCATTATAAATGCACTCACTTTCCTCCTGAAGAAAAAACGAAAAGAAATGATTAAAAATGAGTTTTACTGTTGTTGTTATTAAAATGATACTGTATTACTATCATTACTATTAATCTACTACTATTTTGTGTTATAAGAAGTCACATCTCATCGCATCTTGTGATGATGGACCAGTTTTCACCTGACAAAACTAAACATCATCGATACTGCTGCGCTCCCCCTGGCGGGCGGCGGAGGAACAGCAGCTGAAGACGGCGGCGCTAGTGGGTCGAGCTTCGTGTCGATTCGTCCTCTTCTTCGGTTTAATCATCCAACGACGCGTTGTTTGACCGAGAGAAAGGCCGAAGCGGCGCTGTCTCCGTGTAAATGGCGTCTAACGGTAAGAGAAACGGGCAAATCTGTCTGGGGTCTGGAGCCGGTTAGCTAAAGATAGCATCACCTTCACCTGCCGGTGAACAGAGGACAGCTAGCGGCTAGCTGCAGTTTAAATGGCTCTCTGGGGGCGTGGCGTCCATCCTTTATTATCACATTTAATTCATGCAGGCCTTACGCCACCGTTTGTCCGGCTGCACGACCGCCCCGCCGCCTAGCTTCGGTTAACTCTGAGTAACCGAAGCTGCTGCGGTCCGATTAGCTCGCCGTTAGCCCGGTTTTGCTGCTGACCCAGTTTCTGGTGGCTCACTGCGGTCTCGAGCAGAGTAACCGCCCCCCTGTGCCGATCCCGCTGCTTTAACCCCTGTCCTCGGTTTATTAGAAGGACATCAGAGCGGAGACCGAGCAAACCCAGCTCACCTACACCGGGCGGGTTCAACTCAACCCCAAATAATGAAAGACATTTCATTATTAATTTTTTGGCATCTGTGGGCTGGATTATTAATACTGTCAGGTAAAGAGCCTGCAACAACACAGAAACAGTCACATGGCCCCCTGTGAGGAAAAGTCCTGTTAATAGGAAGAACCCTGCGTTAGTACCAGGATCAGGGAGGAGCAGCCATCTGCCTGATGGGGGTGAGGGGAGGGAGCAGCAGGCTGGGTGTTTGAACTGGAGGGTAACCGACAGGGAGGGCTTTGCTATTCCAGAAAAACACGAAACAATAAATAAACAGGCCGTAAATATTTCCAAACATATAAGCACAGGACACTCAAAGTTTATAGTTATAAAAGGGCAACTGTGTCTGTGTTTGATTGGATCAGTGAACTCACAACACACACTAGGGCACAATATCCTGTCACATTTCCATTTGTGTTGCTATTTTCATGCAGTGTCATGCTTTAAAGCTCGCTGCACACACCGCTGAGACACAGAGATACTTCTGACCTGCACAGGAAGCTCTAGACTGATGTGAACTGCATCATTAAACTGAGCTGCACTGCAGCAGCTTATCAGCAATATGGGTGTTTTTCATTATGTGATTTAGTGTAATTTATAGCTGAAGTGTGTCATTAGGATTCAGCTGCACAGTGACTTGATTGGGAGGATCAGGAGCCCCGAGGCTCGTCCATAACACCGAGCTGGGGGTAAGAGAGCAGAGACAACAAATGATAAGATGCAGAGTGGTGTGAGCGAAGAAGAAATGCTCAGTGCATCATGGGAAGCCTGTCGGTTCGGGATCACCCGATCCAGCCCTAACTCTATGTCACTAAACAAAAGTTTTAAGCATAATCTTAAAAGTACTGAGTGTGTCTCTCTCCCACATCCAGACTGATCTGACAAATTTGAATTCAGTGGATTTGGTGTCTGGTTTTTAATGTATTCATAAATAGTTTCACAGTGTTGCAGTCTGAAACACTTTAAATCGTCTGTTTTTGTTAATTATGTTCGGTTTGGATAGATCTCCCGGACATGGATTGAATCTAGTCCCAGACTAAAAGAGAATCAGTTTTAGTCCATGTCATGAAAACTGAGCCTAAGTATTACCAGTTTCCATTTCTGGATGATAAAAAGCAGTGACGTGGCCTTCTTAAAAAGTGTTTTTACAGATAGAATATAGTTTATTCATTTAATAATTACCATTAAAATGTGTCTTATATAGTTACTGTTGAGTTTGTGAGGTTCTAGATTATGTCTGACACTGTTTTATTGCTATCATCAAAACTGACTTTAATATTAACCCTCTCTGCTTTTTCCCACAGATTATTCCCAAACATCTAGCCAGGGGTAAGTTATGTAAATCATGTCTTTATTCATTCATGAAGCTTTCAGTCATTAATACTCATTCAGAGTAAATACATTTAGCTTTTGAATTTTAAAACAAGAAAAGTAAGTCCTTGCATTTAACTGTGGAAATGATTTTGTTTTGTAAGTCAATGAAAACAATTTGAAACGGTGTATTCTTGGTTGGTGTGTGCAGCTATCCATCCTATGGTGGAGGTGGCGGTGCTAGCCAGGGCTACGGTCAGTCGTCTGGCCCGGGTTACGGCCAGCAGGGCTACGGAGGCTACAACCAGAGCTCGGACAGCAGCTCCAGCTCCTACAGTCAGGGAGGCTATAGCGGCTACGGCCATCCTCAGTCAGGTAGAGGAAGCCCCAACGTCCGCCCAAATCCACAGTCACTGTTTTCCAGTCAACTGTGAATCAGTTTCCTTTTCCCAGGTGGATACGGGTCTCCATCCTCCAACCAGGGCGGTGGCGGTGGTGGGTATGGTCACTCAAGTCAGTCCTACAGCTCCGGTGGCTATAACAGCAGCAACCAGCCGTCCAGCATGAGCTACAGCCAGCAGTCGTCATTCTCCGGGTACAGCCAGCAGCAGCAGCCTCCTCCTCCATCCTCTGCGAGGTATGCTCATGTTCACCTCGCCTTTAATTCACTGATTTCTGCCCCATCTGCACAGCGGTAGTGTTTAGGAGCAACCACAACCCTCACTGACTTTACCTGCGGTGTGAGAGAGGAGGATGCTGGGATAGCAGGAGATGGAGGCAGGTGAACTACTTTAGCGAACCTTGATAGAAGCAGTCAAAAAAAAGAATAATTTAAAGGCCGCATTCGTCTTTAGTTTTAAATAATTTTGGAGTGCAGTTATTTTTTGTTGTTTGATGGTGGTCAGAACACTCCTGTAATAAAAATCAAATGTTCATACTGGTCCCCAGTATAAAGTACAACATAAGCCGAGGTCAGTCTCAGTAATTCAGTGCTTATCTCTATGATACTAATCCTAATAAAGCAGGTGCTCTGTTTTTCATTATATTCTAGGTCAGCCTAGAGGCCGAACTAGTTTAAATCGAATAGAACTTTAAAAAGGCGCCTGTACTGCAGTTTCATGTGAGTACAGCAGGGGGCGCTCCAGTTATAGGAGCAAACTTCCTCTGTGGCGACCTCAGCTGTCTGCTGATCGCCAGGTATGTGTCCTTTGAAGCCAGCGTGGACTTGCAGACGGTGACCCTTTTAGCTAATTTCATCACACAAAGCCTCTTTTTAATTAGTTCAGGTGTGTCGACGTGCACGTGTCCGCTGCCACCTGAACTTCTCTTTACCCCTCTGTTACTGCGGAGGCCAAACATGCTTTCATTTGCATTGTGTTCATTTTGAGGACATTCAGACATGTTCAGTAAATGTTTGTTCATTTACAGTCAAATCATTTTTGGCCCTTAGCTGTAAAAGGCTGATGAGCCGCCAAGTGAATGATCGAGATTACAGCATTGAACAAAATAATCAGGATTAAGGTTTTCACCATAATTGAGCAGCTGCAGTTTGAGTCTCTCGTATGTGAGCTGCCATGTTGCTTTGTAGTCTTTAACACTTCCTGTTTTCTAACAGCTATGAAGGCAACTCGCCAGCTCCCGCCTACCAGCCACCGAGCAGCGGAGCGAGCGGAGGCAGTTACGGCAGCAGTGGAGGGCAGCCTGGTGGTAACTACGGGGGCAGCGGAAGCCACCCACAACCGTCTCAGCACGGAGGAGGTCACTACAACCAGCCGCCGAGCTACAACACTCCTCCTCCGCCGAGCTACAGCCAGCAGAGCCAGTACGGGCAGAGTGGAGGTGAGGGGTTGTGTAGCTGTTGATTACTGATTGAAAGCACATCAGTGTTTGGTCTGCTGAGGTTGAAACTTTCTCTCAGGATATGGAGGCGATAGCCCGCCGATAAGTGGAGGAGGAGGCGGAGGATACGGTGGTCCTGATGGAGGTTATGGAGGTCAGGAAGGCCGTGGGGGCAGGGGCCGTGGTGGAGGCGGATTTGGAGGCCGCGGTGGTGGCGGATACGATCGAGGTTTTGACCGAGGCGGCCGAGGTGGTCCAAGAGGAAGAGGAGGCATGGGGTAGGTGTTATCAATCATTGACTTATGAGTCACAGAAGCTCAGGGCTGTGCTACATCTTAATGTCTCCACCCATCTGGTTTTACATGGAGCCGCACTACTTCTTCTTTTTCCTGTAAAAAAAAAAAGAAGTAGTGATTCATATTTACACCTCTGACCTCACCTGCTTGTAAGAGTATGTAATCCTCAGTGCTGCGAGAGATCCCGTGGAGCGCCTCTCCACCCAGCCCAAAAACGCTGAAGACCACATTGCTAAAGGTCCAGTGAGTCGACATGTGGTTGAAAAGTGAAAGAGCCAAAGCTGTGAATCATCTCTGCAGACTCCTCACACGATAAAACAGATTCAAACCCAGACCCTGCTGCTCTGAGGCCACTGGACCACCTTACCACCAAATCAAAAAGAAACATGAAATGGCCACAAAAAAGCAGTGTGTTCTGAAACATTACAGTACTCACAAGAACAGGTGAATGAAACTCATCTTTGAAAACAGAAGGTGGAGGCAGCGAGGAGAAAGTGTGACCTTAAACAGGCTTATTTCATCTGCCTGCAGGTGTGTTTTTTACACATTAAGAGCACAAAGGTAAAAGTTTTAAAAGCCAACATCTGTGCTGTGATATCAGCTCGTCCTATAAAAGAGAGGACGTCCACTCAGCTGGGTTTTCTTGGTTCATGGTGGTTTGCGTTGTGGTCCGGTTGACCCTGTGCAGACCCGCCTGACAGTGTGATGAGGTTAAAAACAAATAAAAAAAATCTGGTCAAGAAGGGATCAGTAAGCCAAAAATGAGAGGTTCACAGCCAGAACACAAAAACAACACACAGCCAAACTCGGTTTCTTTTATTTTGAAAATCTGCGCTTCACTCAGCGCTACTTTGTGGCAACATGGGTTGAAAGTACTGTTTCCTGTTCTGCTTAGTCAGTGCAAACACAACAGAATGATCGGTGCTCTCTGATCAGAGAGGATGAAGTAAATCACATAAACTGCCAATGTA